AAATTACAACACATCTTTTTAACCACTCTGATGACGCTAAATTAATCTCACGTCTCTTCTTGCGAAATATGTTGCAAAGAGCGTTTAATTCAACCGCCGTACAGCAGGTTCTGGAAATGTGTTCACGTAACAAAACACATCAAACTTGAAACTCTTGTATATAGCGCATGTGCTCAAAATGGTTTCGAGGATCGTGTTGTGAATATTTCAATTTGGAGGAATGTTCCACGGATTTGAAAACAAATATTTAAAAAATATATACAAAGCGCCAGGAAGTCCTGTGTTAAATCACTTTGGAGGCGGCACGCATTCATAAACGTGTCGTGGATTGGCGAGAAGTGAATGTTTTTGTTTAAGGTTACGCACACATGGCGTGTGTCGTGTTGGCGACGTGGGAGTGCGCGGGTGGCAATAAGCAAGGGAAAATGTCAATAATAACAAAATTACAGAAGTGAAATTTTTAATGAAAAATTGAAAATGCACTTCAGGGCAGTGCATGAAAAATTCAATTATTCTTTTAATTGTGACAAATTAGTTTGCTAAGAACACTGTCTAAAATCAATGGCTACTGTGACCTTTGACTATTCATTGGTAAAAAAATGGCAAATACAAATTGTCTCTATAAAACCATGCATTACCATGCCCTTCAGAAAACTACTATAGATTTTTGCTAAGGGGAGAAGATGGAAAATTGTGTAGATTTATTGACTGGTTTAACCTGCTAAACCACTGTTGAGATATGTACTCTACATTCGAAATCGTGTTTGATCCATTCTCATAATGCAAGTTTTCATTTTATGAGATTTTGAGCAATGGATTTGGCTGACATTTCAGAAGATATTAGAGACCGTTTAGAAATCGTCGCCCCCCCCCCTCCTCTGCCCCCCACCATCGTCCACAATTCACACAAATAATTCGCTTTCGTGCATCGCATTTGGACACAGCTTCTTTGAAGCTGTAAAAAAAAAAATTACATTTTTGCGGACACGTGATTACCGATTATGGCAGCAGGCATCGCCGTTGTTTTTTTTCTTTATTTTCTTGCCAAGAGCTGCTAAGCCACGCGCCCGACCACCCGCCCGCTCTCTCGTACGCTCGCTCGCGCGCGCACTCACTCGCTCGCTCGTACGCTCGTGTCGACACGTGGAACACCGCCGCCGCCACCGCCGCCACCTTTGTATTCAACGGGGGTGCATAGCTTTGTGATCCGATTATATTCAACTGCGCTTGGTACAACAGACTTCATGATATACAGAGGAACAATATACAATAAAGCAGCACCCCCCGAGCCCTCGCCGTGATGGATCTCACGCGGACCCCGTGGGGATTTAGGAAAGCCACGGCACAGACCCGATAGCTGACATATCCGTCGCTACGCGCGTCTCATCCATCCGTGTTTTGCCGGGCCACGCTAGCCGCCCTCTTGCCATATGTTTTGTCCACTGTTGTCACAAAATCAATGGCTTGTCTCACCACAGAGACGGATAGAGTCTCGTTTTGCAGCCAAGGGGAGGGAGCCACGGTGGAGCCAGACCCTTATTCTTGGCGAATATCTCTCTCTCTCTCTCCCTATCTCACGCTTGCTCTCTCCAACATTTCTCCGCTTTGCCCACTCTTTTTAACATATTCATTTCTTGTTTTCACAAACAGTTATGGTGGGTTTTTTTTGTCACTCATCAATGCTCCCCATCACCCACCCACCCACCCCCCTCCGCCTCTCCCTGTTGTGTTGTCTCTATATCTTTGGCTCCCTCGATTAATCTCTCGTGTTATTATCTCTGGAGGTCACAATGGGTTGAGAAACGGAAAAAAAATACGTGCGATTTCAATGTGTGACTTGCCTGCAGGGCATGTCACCCAGTTCGTTTGTACCAAACAAAGACAAAGATTCCCCGTATAGCCTCTGTATGCTGTTGGGGCAAGTGCTGTTAGCGAGTACCTATGAAGGCCGGAATGGCACACGAATGGGTGGGTGACCTGCACCCCTCCCGGCCGCCTTTGTCTCCCCGATGACTATGTTTACACACCTCACCAGGTACTCTTTTTTAGGCTAAGTCGACCTAGGGCAGGTCTAGGACCGGTTCAGATCCTCATCACTGGTGTTGGCCGTGAGCGGGAATCAAACTCGGGGCACTGAATGAAAAGCGCAGTGCGCTAATCGCTACACTACCGCTCACACACACACACACGAAGAGGTGTCAGGACAAAACTTAAATTTCTCTTGTTAATCTCGTCACCTTAAAATAACACTAATGGTAAAATAACAGTACGATAATTAATAAAAAATGAAATTAGCAATGTTCTGTGACAATTCGTAATGTATCTTAGAAGGTGAACTATATTAAAACATCAATTGCACTGTTGACACTGCAGCGTATCGACTTGTGCCTCCAATTATATGTGCAGGGTTACAGTGGATTTTTTTTCTAATTTAAAAAAATAATGCTACGATCATCAGATCGTCATTTCATCATTCCAACCATTCTCAATCTGCTGTTGGATGAAGGCCTCCCCTTACGCTGACACCACCGTCAGCATTTCTCTGCAGCTTGCACTCCGCACTTTTCCATCTCCACGTGGTTTCTCTTTTTTTGCCCAATTCTCCATCAATGCTCACGTTATTTAGCCGTCATGAATGTGCTAAAGAATTATGGCCCATGTACTTTTCCATCCTCGTGTGTGGTGTGACGTTTCGGACTTTGCTGTCTAATTTCTCCGCATGTCCCCTCTGCGTTATCTTCACGGACTTTCACTTTGTCGCTGGGGGAAAAAAATTAAATGTACACTGTGATGTTGTCTGTAATGATGGTGACGGTGATGATGGCAATAGTGGTGGTGGCGATGAATATATGGAATCGATGTCACATCCTTAGAATTCTGTTTGTGGCAACAGAGTCTTTTTTTTACACGTAAGCTTTCGCGACCACAGGTATTCGTACTAAATGTTTTTTTGGGTGAGATCGCGTAAATATTAATGTGTCATTAACCCACCATCACCCGACACGTGGCCAATTCGTAAGGTTTGTCACCTGAACAATACGATGTGCTGAATAGCGAATTGGCATGCTTTGTTCACGTGACCAACCTTACTAATTGGCTGTGTCGGGTGGAATGTATGCACGTTGAACTTCTTTCGCACCGTACGTATCCAATCGTGCTAATCAGAGGGTGGTGGTGGGTGAACGACACAGTTATATTTACGCGAGCCAACCCCAAAAACCGGTATTATGAATTATGGCACGGAGACCTTTGAGTGGCTATGCCCCGAAATTAGGAATTGCCCAATCCTTCTCCATATTGCTAACCGCTGCATGTTAAGCCTGATGGGGTGGAGGGGTGCACGCTGTGGTGGCGCTGGCCACAAGCAAATCACATGCTTAGGGCCTCGAGCAGGCTCAATGACCCTCGGGTTCACAAGAAATGTATCGGTGGAAAAAATATAAACTTGGATTCAGATATACGAAGAAGCGTAAAAAGCCGGTCAAATTAAATATTAACGACTGAATACCTCTCCTCTCTATATTGTGTGCAGCAGCTCTCTTGTCTCGTCTCACTCCATCTCCGTCTCTTGTGCACATCTCTCTCATTTCACTTAATTTCTGTCTCATCTGTATCTCGTCTCAGATCTCATTACACGCCTATCTTTTTCCACATTTCTCAAAGCTCCGCCACATTGTCTCCCTTGTCTATATCTCCTTTATCATTGAACTAGGCGATTATAAATTGAAGAGGTGGATGGCCCTGAAAAAAGTAATTTCTCTGTAGCCGCCTTCCCCCAATGAGCCGACACTGTATGTTGAACTTCGTTTGCACCGTACGTAGCCAACCCTGCTAATCGGAGCCATGGGGGAAGTACACCACACTAAAGACAAAAAAAAGCAGTTCTGAAGAAATTCGCTTGTCAATTTAGACGATTCAAAAGCGCACGGCTCCAGTGGCTTCGAACGGAAGAACATTCTGGACGGCCACAGAAGCGCACCTGACTCGTCATGCCAACTGCGGGGTGGACGGGCGGGTGGCGGGGGAGCATGGAGAGTCGTCAGGTGGCCCCAGAGTGTGAGCGAGAAAGAGACCACGTGGCGCCGTGTCCGTGCCGGGGGGCCCTCCGCTTGTCGGAGAGTGGCAGCGCCTGGACACGTTGGTGACTTGGCCGCTCCGCTCTCTGAGGCTCGAGCACCGGGAGCTTGCTGCCACACAGGAAGTACACCCTCAGCATGCGGTGCGGTGCCACCTGCAATGGTATAGGAGCCGGGGAAACGCGCGCGCGTGTTTGTCGATGTGCACGCACGGTGACCCTTCGGTCGAAATCCACCGCTACCGGTCGAGGGCCTCTCCCCATGCGGTGCGGGTGGCGGGGGACGGAGGGGTTACGTGACCGTACTTCGCCACGCTGGTCAGTGCGGTTTTGTGAAGGAGGGGAGGCACAGACGTGGGAGCATTAGAAGCACAGTACAACATTGGAGTTTGCTGCACTGCCCTCTTCTTGCACGCAACGTAGCACAGCCGTGGAGCTGCCCGTGACAACCTGGCGTGCTTGCTGGTCACCCATCCTAGGACTATCTAGGCCCAAGCCTTGCTTATCCTGTGAGTGATTTGCGCATAATATGTATTACGTTTGTTGAACTTCCGTTGGATCGTGCGTAGCCAACCGTGATCATCGGATGTGCGGGGCAGGGACAACAAACTAACCACAAAAAGCAGTTCTATAGAAATCAGTTTCCAATCTAGTATTTAAAAGTGCATAGCTCCAGTGGCTTCCTAATATCGGAAAGAATAGCGGATGGCTGCAGAAGCGCATCTGAAAGCGCTCTGCGGTGGATCGACCTGTGTTCGATGGTTGGCCAAAAGCTGCTGCTGCTGCTGCTCCGAGGATGATCGGAGTTTTGCGCGATGGTTTACAAATACACCCAATCAAACTCTGATAAAAGTAGCCGATACAAATCAACCGCCGCTCTTTATTATTTTCGACGCATGCCGTCTAATCCGAAGCGCCCGCTCTGCAAAATCAAGCGCACATTAGAATTTGCGTGTCATCCTTGCGCAGGGGCCATGCTAATCTTCTCTGTATCGTTCCAATTTTAGTATATGTACTGCCGGATCAAGTACTTTAGAGGGAGTTTCAATAGCTAAATAAATAACCAAGAGGCCACTTTAGCTCTCAGTCCGAGTCCACTGTGGATTGATTGGTCAGCAAATGAGGTTCACATTACACCCACAATTAAATACACTAAGAGAGCTTGTTAACAGCATCTGTGAAACGACACTTTATTACCTTTGGCCAACAAAATGGCGAGTAAAAGCCCCTCAAATGCAGCCGATGTCGTAACTTAGCAAATCCGCTGAATGCTTGAAGGAACAAGAGCTCGTTACGCACGAGGGTTCTAGATTTGAAGCTTTCGTGACTGCAAGGATTCATACTCTTAAGTCACGTAGGTAAAAATAAATAATAAAAGTAAAAATAATAGAAATAATAATAGAAATAAAATTCGAAATCACGACGTTTCGGAGGCAACGCAAGTCTCCGTCATCAGGTGGGACCGTCACAGCCAGATTTACTGTATCAAGCGAGGCCCCGAAACGTCATGATTTATTATTTTATTTCTATGATTATTTATATTATTTTCACTTTTATTATTTATTTTTACCTACGTGACTTTACCGAAAAAACCTAAGAGTACGCACGAGAGTTGTTCCGTTAAACCCAGGGTTTAATATCAGCTGGTGTGTGTGTGCCCAGGTCAGGGACCCAGACAATATGTCCGCACCTGGCACACCACATCCAGAATAGCTCTTGCCATGCCTCTGTGTCTATCAGTCACGTGACTGCTCCTGTGACATTTTACGTAAGCAATTAATTTCTGCCTTCGAAGCACGTTAAGTTATAGGGTGAGTTGACACGAATCTGAATTTAAACTCACATTTTGGTAACCACAATCACATTTCTCTTCCGAGTATGCCTGTCCCCAGCCGTCTGAGAATGATTCAGAAACACCGCTGGCATCACTGGCTGTTTTAAAAAGTAAAAAAAAAACTAACTTTAAACGGGACGGGGTAAATATCTAAGCATGTCAACGATTGACGCTGCTGTCAAATGTCCTGCATATATTCACTGCACTGCCTTCCACCGCCTTCCATCAGCTCTCTTTAATCCTCTGCTTTGCCTTTTTCTTTTGTCGTTTCATATGCCATTGTTCGAATTCCCAATGGACCCATCCATTACCAGAGTACCCTTTAACCAGATATGTTTAACCAACCCTACCTTGCATAGCTCTAAAGGGATGTATGAAAAATGTATTTATTTATTTCCACCTTTTATTAGCTTTCAGGCTTGCACAGCTGCCTTTTAGAATTCATATCCCGCAATGGATTTTTTTCCCACGGCATCACAATGTGCAGGAAAGCCAATTTGTGGCTGTTAAACGCGGTTGAATATTCTGCAGACTGGGTCGCAGTGGCCCGAGGCTTAGGATGGCCCCGTCTCCGCCGTTCAATGTTTAAGCTGGATTGTGCGAAATGTCGTTTCCTTAATGTAAAAAAAAGTAAAAGTGCTTTATTCAAGAAAGATCCTGGCTTTGGCCTATAAATGAATGGGACCAGGGTTTTTAAGCAAGCACCTATAAAAGCCATTTTTTTTCTCATGATGGGAAAAATCTGGCCAATGCTCTTGCGTAATTGCCTTTGTCTCCCCAGTGTTTATGCTCTAAAAAAAGAAAATTTCAAGCAATCATTTAAGACGGAGTCAATCTAAGAGATTCCCAAGCCACGTGTTGAGAAACGCAACTGCCCTTGGTGCTACGGGACCCTTTTTGGGAGTATTAAGATGATAATAAAAGCAAAGAAATGTTTTTACCCTTTCCGGCAATGATATAGATAACTTAACCTGAGCTAATCATTCTTTGGCGTTTTGCATCGTCCTTGCGCTGTTTGCCTTTTGACGTTTTTTGGTCTCCAATGAGACAAATGATAATAATGCAATTTATAACGCGCGCAAATTTGCGGACGTAACGACCGCAACTAGAGGTGCGGAGCCAAGCTCAGAGTCGCTCGAAAGCGTGGTTACAGAGGTGAGTTTTTAAGTCCCTCTTGAAGGAGGCGATTGAGGTGATGCTGCGAATGTGCAGAGGGATATCGTTCCAGACTGTTGCGGGTGCCACCGAGAAGCGGCGCATAGACACGATGACCATCCTGGATCTTGGTATCAAGAGGAGGTCGTGAGTAGTCGCGCTGCGCAGGCATCTGCCGTGTGCTGAGCTGCAAGTTGTCAATAATGAAGAGAGGTACGAAGGCGCAGGCGGATACGAAGGCATTGTGGCAGAGGCAGGCGATCTTGTATAAGCCATACAAGAGGCCGTCTGCTGGCTGGAGGCCGATCAGTTTCAAGGACAATGCGTCCATTATTGAAGCGTATTTGCGTGCATGTTACACCACACGCATGTGCAGTTGCCGCAGACTTGATGCCTTGTCGTCGGTTTGTCTATTTGGTGTTCGGACATCTTAACACCTCCCCGCATTATTGTCGGAAAGGTTGAAAGTCTTTTCTTCTCAATAATAATAATAATAAAAAATGAAGCATTATTTGCCACCACACACCATAGCCACAGGCCTCGGGGTTGCACAGCGTGGGTCATTTCATCACCGACACGCTGATTGGATGTTGTAAAAAAAAACTAAAAATACAAACCTCAACGGCTCCGATCCAAATCCACTTCTTCTACGAATTGGTTTTTTTGATTCAACATTGAGTCGCTAGGATCGCAATTCATACATTTCACTCTGATATATTGCACTACGTTGTTATGAAATGCATTATTTTTATTTAAACCAAAATATTATGCTGGAAACCTCCCTCGGAGCCATTGAATCTCAACAGGCTTTCCACCAGTAATCTACATAGGCAGTATATGTTCAATCAATCGGCAGTGTGAGGACATGACATAATCAAGTTAAAAGGGACGCTTTGCTGCTGCTTATTGAAGTAAGCTATCTCCTGTGATGCATTGCTGCAGTGTCAAGTAGCTACGTATTTTTCTATTGAAATCAGATTATGTATTAATCTTTTGATCTTTCTGGGGTTTGTTTGCAACTCAGTGGCTGCCTTTGTACAACTGTTCATGTTCATGCGCCAATTCGAAATTGTTCATGCTTCCTCCAAAATGTTCATTTTCACAAAACTGTAGAGTGCAATCTTCAACTTGAATTCAGTCACATTATTTGATCTCTCTCTCGTCTGAAAAAAAAGTTCATCGTTGCGAAAAATAAACCCGGTTCGGTCAGGAAGCTCATTTGCATGATAAGCCGGATGTAATCGCCAGTATTCCTCCAGTTTTCATTAAACATCTAATTATTTGGCATATTTGCCCACGTAAAAAGATGCTTTTATTGGCCCTGTAAGGTGGCGAAGGGTATAGCTGAGCATTGGTATGAAACCTACACGATCTAACCAGAGATTAACTAACGACGAACCAAGAGATGCCATTCTCATCAAGGCATCGTTACTGACTGTTCGGCTGGATGGCTCAGCTGCAAGAGTAAGCAACTCGCAAGCGGAAAATTGTAACATACTCTTTGGTTCTTTCGGTAAAGTCACGTAGATGAAAAATAAAAAAAATGTAAATAAACTAAATTAAATCACGACGTTTCGGAGGCAACACAAGCTTCCGTCATCAGGTCATCAGGTGGAACAGCCACAGCAAAATTACTGTGAGTACTCACTCACTGCAAAATTACTGTGAGTGCTCACTACAGTAATTTTGCTGTGGCCGTTCCACCTGATGACGGAAGCTTGTGTTGCCTCCGAAACGTCGTGATTTAATTTAGTTATTTTAATTTTATTTTTATTATTATTCTTTTTATTTTTCATCTACGTCACTTTACCGAAAGAACCAAAGAGTATGGATCCTTGCGGTCACGAAAACTTCAGACCTGGAAGGTTGTAAGTTCAACTCCTGGCTGGGGGTTGACGCATCCCATTAACCCTCAACGTTGTGGGGAAGTCAACAGTGTTTGTTGATGATGATGATGACGACGATGCTTGTGCGATGGGTAGACCCGTGCCCACCCTAGGAATGTGGAATGTCCACCACTGGCTCATGGATGTCAACAGGAGATGAACGCTGCCCCAACGCTCATTTGAGCAGAAAAGCACTTTGACTTTGACAGTGATGATTGTCGGTAGTGCATACTATGATTTGTTGTCGCCTCGACAGACCTGGTTTTCACCTGAGGGTGGCTGCTTGCGTTGTGGCCGAAACGTTGTGAGAATTATTTTATTATGTTTTATTATTTATTATTTTATTACTTCCCTTCTACGTGACTTTACCGAAAGAACCAATAAGATGAATCCCTGCAGTCACGAAAGCTTTAAATCGAAATTTAAATCGAAATGTATGATTTGTTATTGTGCATTATTGCTAACGGAGCCTATTTCATTTTACTCGCTCAACAATTCGCCAACTCTATAAATTAGCACGTTAAAGTCGCTTCGCGTTGTGCCCCGCTGACGCTTGTTTTACTCCGCGATCAGCGAACACCGGACACACCGCTCCCGTCGCCACAAGGGCACGCGTATTGGGCCGCTCTTGTGGGACGGCTGTCGCGAAAGGGCCTTCGAACGGACGGACCCCCCGGCGCTCAGCCTTTGTGGAGATGCCCCGGGCACCGGGGGCCAAGAGAGCGAGAGCAGGGAGCAAAGCGGAGAGCCTTGTGCAAGGTGGCAACGCTGCCTCCCTCCCTGTCGTCTCGAACCCGCCTGCCCGTTCTCGAGCGCGTTCGGAGGTCACGGGCTGCCACGCGGCGTTTTTTCCTTGGTTTGAAAAGCTGCAACCCTGAGGCTACACAGAGGAGCAATTAAGCAACTGTGTTTTGGTGTAATTGAGCCGGGTGCGGGTGACGCACGCGCACGCGATCCGACGCGCAGTGTGGGACCTCGTGGGCTGTTGAGGTGGGTGGGAGGTGGCGGTAATGCAAGCGTGTTGAATCCATCTGTGCGGAGCCTCGAGTGTTATTTGCTCGTATGCTTGGGTTTTCTTTGGATATTTGGGATGCATTTTTGAATGCACCTGCGCAGAGTTTGAGGTGCTAACTCGTCGTATGTATGTGTGTGTGTGTGTGTTTTTTATTCGGGTGTTCAGTTTCCTACACCATGCAAACACTCGTGAATGGAATTTGCCAAAACATCGTCATGCAAAACCCTCTTGCAAGAAAGTTCTGAAACTCAAAGAGTCTCTTCTACCTAATTAATAGCCCTGTAACGATGCATAAATTCACCAATTAACATTGATTCTTAAATGCGTGCGCGATACATGCATATAATCGCGCGTGTGATCATTGATTATTTAGCGTTTGTGTAAATTGTATGCCAATATTACAGGCAGGTTAACGGAGCTAGCAACCCTGCACAAATTAGAAATAGAGAGAAATATGAGAAAAAAATACAAAAAGGAAGGTATAAAACGACACTAAAAAGAATCAGTTTTTGAATCAAATCGCAACCTTGAATCGTGATAATTCACTATGTAGCACGATTTTTGTTCATGGGTAGTAAGTGTTATTTTCTAATTGCTTATGCCTCAAACGTATAAAAAATGGCTTTTATTCTCCACAAACTTTGCTTTTGTGACCAGGACTTTACGTGAAGGAAGGACACAAATGCACACCACGTTTTCTCATTGAAAATAGGTACATTTCAACATATCACTGTCCTGGTCACAAAACCAAAGTTTGTGGGGAATAATAGCAATTTTCTGTACTTTTGAGGCATAGGCAATTATGAAATAACACTTACTACCCAGGAACTATTTTTTTGTTACACAGTGATCCAATTATGGGGGAGAGAAGGATGTGAGAGTTGAACAGGAGTGAGTGTGGGTGGAGTGCTGAATTGTTATACACCTGATCAATAAATTACATTTCATGCCATCACACAATTTCTTCCTGCTAACTCAAAAAATTGATGTGGTGGGGTATTATTATTATTATTTTTGCACGGTGGGTGCAGCACTAACCCGGGGGTTAGCAAAGCAAAAGAACAGCAGCAACAGTCAGCCGCTACAAATATTCGCGTCTTTCACGTGCGCCTGTGCGTGACGATATGGCGTGAAAACGTGGGGGTGGGGTGGGGTGAGCCCTTGGCCAGGGTGGTGGCCGCTGGCGCCACGATGGCGACTCCAGGTGATGTACAGGTGCCGCCTCCAGATTGCCTTTGGCAGCGACGCGCCGCTTTGAGCCACGGCTGACCGCAGCAAGGCCCGGGCGTCACGGTGAAAGCACCGGATACACGAGGCCCAGTTGCACGGGTATCGATTTCGCATTGGACACTTGAACACATGCTGCCCGATGCAAAATGCCAACGGGGAGTGCGACTCGTTCTAATATAGCCGCTCTTGATGCATTCGGTAATCGGTCTTGCTCGGACTTTGTTTGCAAGCACGTGGACTCTTTGGTACAGGCTGCGCCCGTCTCTCTCCCCTTTTCACGGCGGCTGCAGCCTGAGGATAAATCGACGTTTCCCAGCCGCATCTACTTATATCCAATGTACAAAGCACACTGGCTCAGCCCATGACTGAGTAGAAGGGAAGAAAATTGGTTTAAATATTTTCTTAAAGAGATGATGATGATGATGATACACGGCGCATTGGAGCTCACGCCTTTTCTCGGTCTTGCCCCCGAGTATCCCTCAAAATCCTCGCGAAAATTACTTGTGGCAGCGAGCAATATTGCCGCTTTGCAATCGCCCCGCGCGCAAAGCGCGCAACAATTGAAACCAAAAAAGAGCTGTTGAGAGCAATAACGTTCAACTTCTCCCAATTAATGAATTCGCGAACAGAAGATGCGAACGGGCGAATGAATAATTTATTGAATTAATTACCTCGTTAGACGGTTGAATGAACGTGTTGAATAATTCAAAGGCCCCGTCCGCAATTTGCCGGCACTTCCTCATTCCAGCGCACCACCTCCCCCCCTCGTGCCACCTCATCTCATCATCCTTGCCGCCCGTGGTTACCTGTACCGCTGCTTTGAGCTCCCTCGATTTGAGCCTTGCCCCCTGCCGCTCGGCGAGTCGGGAGGCCTGGCACGTGGCGGCGTGCGTGCTCGCTGCTGCTGCTGCTGCTGCTGGGGGAGCCCCTGGGAAGTGACTCCAATCCCCTGGCTGGCGTCTGGCGAATCCTGGCACGTGCGTGCCCTCCGTAGCCTGCGCTCGCTCGCACACACGGGAGGAAGCCCATGAAAACATTACTCATCTGCAGCGTTTGTACAAAAAAAATATATATATAGCGTTTAAAATATATTCATTGCAAAGGTCAATGGCTCAATACATTTCTTTGCAAAGGTTCCTTGCGTTCAATTTTTCATTGGGAGAAAACGTACAATTATATTGTTTTTTTAAAAAGTCACAATTTTGGTGTGTATTGATCCAATAGGGCATTGTGGCAATGCTGGACGTGTTGATGTGTTTTTTTGCGATGCGGTTACGTTACGTTATCGGTCAATTACTTGGACATGTTAATTGCTGTAGTTGATGGCAATGAACATGCAGTTTCTGTAATCATTAAGCAGATGGGTGGGGAAATAACACCACCTTGAATTGGCCAAAAAAAATGTTATAGACAGCATTTCGGTAAACACGTTTTCCCACAATTTACTGCTGTCTTCTTTTGTAGCTTATGATTAAATGATATACGCATGGGGGGGAATGCTAATATTTTAAAGTTCAGGAATGATTTATACATGTGGAAAGATAATTTGTACTCGGATATTGAGTTATCATTTCCATGAAGTACAGTGAATATCCTTGTTCAAAAGACTTAGCCATCATCTTAATAAATGCCTCTCCTCCATCAGGGGCCATCCTTCAAGTAGAGGTTATTCTACATATGCCTGGTGGTTACCTGTTAAAAAGATTTTTGTCTGGACACATGCTGTGAAGAGACTCGGATAAGGACTGATGTGTTATTTAATGAATTAGGTTACTATTCAAACTGCATAAGATACTTTTTTTCCCTTGAAGTGCACTATTTGCAAGTACAGAGAAGTAATTTTCTCCATGAATATATATTACATTTAAAGCCCTCTGATGTGACTTGCGACTTGGTTTTGGTTTAGAGTGCTGTGGCTGAAGGTTAATAAGCACTTGACATCAAATACAATGGAAGAGCCTTTTGTGCAAGTGCTTAATTGATAACTCAATGTAATGAACATTGTATTTCCTGCTGGTGCTAAGTTCAGTCGAGCCCAGGGTTGTGCTAAGCCCCTTGTGGTCACTTGCATATTTTTTTTTTACTTTTATCAGATTCACAGCTTTTTTTTTAATTCGCTTTGCTCTTTAATCTTTGGCTCTCGTCTCTCTTACGAAAGTAACACCGCAGGACAGGTCTTGCCCGCCGGCAAAAAAAAACCGAATCCCTCTGGATAGTAAGGCCCTGCAGGGCGCGCACCCACACACACACGGGCACACTCAATTCGCTGAAGTCGCAATCGTTTCCTGGCCGTGGACCAGGTGGTGGTAGGGGGTCCCTCCATCAGTCGCGGCCCCAACTGAGCGCCAATAAAATCATCAAATCACTCCCGGTGCTGCCTCAGCTCTTCTCCCTCCTTAATGGTGGACCGGCCAGGTAGGGGTTGCTTCTTTTTTTTACTAAAAACCGGCTGTGTTCGAGATGGAATGTCTTCATGGCGTTACATAAAAATGTCGATCTACACTCAGGAGAGGGGTGGAGGGGGTGGGGTAATGCATCGTGGCCTGCCGTCAGACTAAGCGTCGTGTTAGCGGAGCCAGGATTTTCAGGTAGGGGAGGGCAACCCAAATGATAGAGGAGTTGTTAGCAAGTAAGGACTTATTATTTGGTTCTTTCGGTTAAGTCACGTCTAATGATAAAATAATAAATTAAATTAAATAATAGCATACGACGTTTCGATTGCAACACAAGCAATCATCATGAGGTATAATGAAATAGCGACATAAAATCTCACCAGAAAACTATAGACAGACATATTAGTAGACAGATATCACCAAGATACATAGAGAGAGCAACACAGGTAACAGAGAGGGGTGATCGTCTCTGTGGGGTGGCCTTAAATAGACAGAGAGAGGACTTGTCCCTTGCTTTTTATTCGACGCGTGTGCGGCGATGGCGCAGCCACCGATCGAGGGTCGAATTCGAACCGCGTTGTGTGATCGGCATCGCGCTCGCTGAAGGTGAATGCCTTCAGGGAAGTCGTGTGGACTGTATACGCAACTGCGCACAATTCTGTGAGTCACTTATAACTGCTTTTCCGTTACTTATTACCAATTATGGACTCAGACTATTGTCCTATCATCTCATAGAGTCCCTGGCACGTAATAATATGCTACACAGTGGCAGTGGGGGTCACAAAATGCCGATTTATTACTAATAAACCCGAATGATCCGATCGAAATTAGGGATTTCGTTCGGATCATTGGGGGGGCACGTACCCCCCCCCCCTCACTGGCTCTGCCAGTGGTCGTGTACCCATCCATACTGCTGGGTGGACAGAGGCCGAGGAGATTCGAGAAACTTGTGCGTTGTTTCGACTGCCCTACTGGGGGGTGGGGGGTCGTGACGAACCGGTAACCTTTGGATTGCGCGCTAAACTAAACTTTTGATTTTTATTTTACCAGGTAAGGTGCACTTGGCTATGTAGCCCCTTTTCAGGAGCGACCTGTCTACCACAAATGATAGCTCAACGAAGTGGCTCATCGTGTCCAAAAATGAATAGCGGCCAATTACTATAAACGCGTGTGGATTGTAAATGTGGGGGGAGGTGGATGGGGGGGGGGGAAACCGGAGGACCCGGAGAAAAATCCACGCGACCACGGGGAGAACATCCAAACTCCGAAATATAAAGCAGGCGTCAAGGTCAGGATCGAACCCACGACCTCCCGTAGACCATGCGAGGCAGTTAACATCTCGCACCCGTGGCGCTCCATGCAAGTCCGGTGTGATGACAATTATACCGTGCCAAGATTAAACAATACACGTGACAGGACCCTTCATGAGGATGCTTTGGCGCAAAAAGGAGATGGGCAAAAAAAATAATAAGAGGGGAGGGTTCGTCAGTTTAATGTGCGCCCCTTGCCCATATCGGTACAATCGACGTTACGTGAGCAGTTTTTTTTCCTCTTCCCATGTGTAATTAACGGCCTTAATCAGCTCGCGGACAGATCCAGGTTAGAGCGCTTGGGACGCCCTCCTTGAATGGCAGCCCCTGCTGTGTGTGAACGTCACAAAATAATTTAATAAGTTGACAAATAAATAACGATCGGCCCTCGGAGTTGCCGATTAACTCATAAAACAGGTGGCCGTACGGCCTGCCTTCCAAACGCCTTTAACCTTCCGTTCTGCAAACGCGCCGCTGTATTTTAATCAGGAACAAGGATACTTTAAGTGTGTTCCCCTTGCCGGGATTGTATAAACACTGCCCGTGACCTTGAAAGTGTAACAAAGTGTTGCCTTGAAGTGCTCTAAGTAGACAGGGCTGTTTCACACACACACACAAACGTCCCTTTATTTGTTCTATTGAGAGAACTTAAATATGATAACTTTCATGGCTATCAAACGAGCAACATAATTGTTTTAATGTAATGCTTCACAATTCACGTTTAAAGTGTTTACGCACTATCTCCATCCATCCCTAAGGGGGAAAGGGGGGAGGGGAAGTTAGGAGGTGGGGCTAAACAAAAACTCTTGTTCTTAGGTTTTTTCGGTAACGTCAAGTAGGTAAAAAATTAAAATTAATAAAAGTAAAATAAAAATAAAATTAAAATCACGACGTTTCGGAGGCAACACAAGCTTCCGTCTTCTGTGTTGCCTCCGAAACGTCGTGATTTTTATTTTATTTTTATTTTACTTTTATTAATTTTAATTTTTTACCTACGTGACTTTACCGAAAAAACCTAAGAATATGAATCCTTGCAGTCACGAAAGCTTCAAATTTAGAAAAACTCTTGTAACTTGTTTCGCCAGCCGTGAGTCGCCAGCCGTGCTAATCGGATGTGCGGGGATGGTTGGGACCCCACTATAGAAGCGCCACATAAACGAGCGATACGGATGAGAGTGGAAAAACGTTAGGCAAGCCTAGTACATTGTCAATAGCAAGTAATAATCACGTAAAAAAATTTCTACATAATAGCACCAAATTATACGTAACATTTTTACTTCACTTTTAGGCACGCATTCTACCTATAGCTGACAGCTTTAAACTGATTTGGTTTTAAAAAAAAAACCCATCCCGCTATATAACGATGAAAATATATTCAAGTTATGTCGTATGCAGAAATTTAGCTGTGTGCAAGATATGCTGTAAATTATTTACGATATTGCATCCGCGCGTACCTGAGTAGTAATTATATGGAGCAGAAATGTGGTAGGCGTTATTTAAGTATCACAATTTAATTGGGACAACGACAACTAGGACAGCACTATAGCTATTAAAAGGAGTACAGTAATCCCTTGCCACTTCGTGGTTCAAGTTTCGCGGTCTCAGAGCATCGCGGATTTTTCGAACTGATTTAAAGGCCTCATTATACCTGTGCAGTAACACCACCATCATCATCATCATTCATCATCACATTCATCGAACTGCACAGGTCTGTCATCGTCGTCATTGTCATCGTCATTGTCGTCATCGTCGTCGTCATTACTGGAGTCAAGTCTCAAGATACTACTGTCATTGGTGAGTGGAGAACACCATAATACGTATCGTATGAGAGAGAGAGAGAGTGAATGTATAATATTAAGGTTTTATAATTAAATAGATTTAAGTAAAATATATATAAAGTATAAATATACATATACGTATCGTATGAGAGAGAGAGTGAATGTATAATATTAAGGTTTTATAATTAAATAGATTTAAGTAATATATATAAAGTATAAATATACATATTTTAAACATTCTGGTACCCACACACACATATACGGAAATTCCTAGGGGGCCAATCCTACTTCGCGGATTTTCACCTATCACGAGGGGTTCCGGTCCCCACTAACCGCGATAAACGAGGGATCACTGTGAATCCAATAGGATAACAACCGCAAGTTGAGTTCGAGAGCCATCACCCCTATCCATCTAGTTCACGGTTGCAGCAATTTCTCTGGGTGTGTAAAATAGCGGGTAGTGTAATTGAAAAGTGTTGCCGGCTTTATCGCAGTGCTTGCTCGTGTGTGTGTGTGTGGGGAGAGCGACGCGTTGTGTGGGTGCTGCATTCTTTTTGTTCGTGTCCACAGTTGCGGGGCGTGTGCGAGAAATTTTGGTCGGCGGAACGATTTCGGCTTTCGTGGAGAATTCAATGAAATACAACCGGGGTTTGCCTGCGAAGGCCTTTTTTAATCCTTTATATTAAGTTCACTTGCTTGCTTACGACCGTGCAAATCTTTCGGGCGTTTTTTAACCCACTTCCCGTGATCCAATCGAGCTGACATTTTGCACACAGACTCGTTGTGCGTGACAATTAATTTTTGTGAAAATTTTTTTCCAAAATGTTACACTGTTTAGGGAAAAATAAATAAATATTTATTTACCAATTGCTTAATGGTGGCAGATAATCATCTGACCCATAGGTGGCAGCCATCTCAAGCCAGAGGACGAGAGGACTCTAGCCGCCACGCATATAAAGGATTTAAAGTGAAAAACTTTGTTTTTACGGGTTAATTTTTTTTTATAATCTGGTGGCTGGAAAATTTATATGGCCGGGAACCATTGTATTGTCTTATCACTGACCTCCCAGAAGCTGTTCAGCTTGGAAAGCTTCCAAAACGGCATCGCGTATTGGTAGATTGAATGTATATACATGTACAATTGTTCATCTGTACGTACGCATGCATGCATGTATGCAGTCTACACGCACAGGACTGGGATAAAGCGCAGTTCATAGGGCAGCTGGGCATAGAATGATTATTAGGTTGTGAGTTTAAATTGTGGCTACGGTCACCACTGCCCTGCATCGGCGTCCACAGCTGCAGTGTTCCTCGTGGTGGTGGATGAGAAAATAAGCACCACACATCATTCAACACTGATTGTCATTATCGGCCATGGTCAATCCACTGCTGGATGATATGGATGTCATGGCTATTACATGACAATGTGGAATATTCACAACCAGCTCAGTACCACTCGCAAGACTCTCATAGAATCGTTGTCGAATTATAAGTGTCCATATGTATGATTTTTTTCTTCTTGGTTCTTTCGGTAAAGTCACTTAGAAGGGAAGTAATAAAATAATAATAAAATACAATTCTCACGACGTTTCGGCCACAACGCAAGCAGCCATCCTCAGGTGAAGAACAGGGCTGTTGGAAAGATAGCGTCCGAATGGCTTTCCGACAGCCCTGTTCTTCACCTGAGGACGGCTGCTTGCGTTGTGGCCGAAACGTCGTGAGCATTGTATTTTATTATGTTTTATTTTTATTATTTTATTATTTCCCTTCTACGTGACTTTACCGAAAGAACCAAGAAGATGAATCCCTGCAGTCACGAAAACTTTAAATCGAAATTTAAGATTTTTTTGTTATGTAAGATAGGGGTGCATTTTTACTTTCACCCGATATATGTGACTTTGTCTATCTTCTGTGGCAGTCACTTCATTTGCATTAAGAAGTAGGAGAAATTACTTTTTCGAATCAAATCTGCTCTGATATTTTTCAAGTAAGTTTCATTACTTACCGTTTTCCAAACACAAAATTATGTCTCTTTAATAGCCAAAGCTGGCATCATGTGCTATGATATACACATTGTATTTACGGTAGCGTCCTAATTATAACTATCTTTAATTGGATGGAATCCGTGACATGACTTAAAACACATATCCACCACATCCTACGTACATTTATTCACCAAAGAGAAAGCACACACTGGATTGTTTTACCCTATTACCAGTCGAATAAGCACTTATGGAGGATATCGAAATATATATATCCAATTTCGATTTAAAGCTTTCGTGACTGCAGGGATTCATCTTCTTGGTTCTTTCGGTAAAGTCACGTAGAATGGCAATAATAAAATAGACAGAGACTCTGTCTTCTCGACAGACCTGTTCTCCACCTGAGGACGGCTGCTTGCGTTGTGGCCGAAACGTCGTGAGAATAATTTTATTATGTTTTATTTTTATAATTTTATTATTTCCATTCTACGTGACTTTACCGAAAGAACCAAGAAGATATATACATCCATCAATGTTCCAAACTCGTGCAACTAAAAGAGTGAATTGGAAATCCAACAACTAACGGTCTCACCAGGGTGCTGTGGCACAGACGTGAAGCGGTGGTGGCAGCGGTGGCGATGGTGGCAGGAGGCCAGTGGCCGGCGTGCTCCCGTGCCACGCGGTTGTGCATGCGCGCACGCAGCGCGAACCCCATTCCGTTGGGTGACCCAAAGGAGTTGGCAGCGCGTGACCTCACGATGTTGCTTTCATCCACAAGCCAGGCTCGCTGGAGAGGACACACAAAGATAAAGATCCCCCGTATAGCCTGTAGGGGCAAGTGCTGTTAGCGAGCACCTATGAAGGCCGGAACGGTACACGAACGAGGGGGTGGGTGGCAAGCACCACGCCCGACCGCCTTTGTCTCCCCAGTTGCGATGTTTACACACCGCACCAGGTACTCATTTCAGGCTGAGTCGACCTAGGGGAGGCCCAGAACCGGTTCAGATAATCGAACCCGGGTCGCCAGGTTCATAGCGCAGCGCAGTAACCGCTACACTACCGCTCCCCATTCACATACACACACACATACACACCCGTATATCCTTTAACAGACTGTTGGGGAGGGTGCTGTGACTGAGCACAACACACGAGCGGGTTTGTGGCCAACAATAGGCCCGGGCTGCCTTTGTCTCCCCAGTGCTGATATTTACACACTGCGCCAGGTAGTCATGTAATGCTTTGTTGACATAGATGAGGCTTACACCCGGTTTATATGCTCATCACTGATGTTAACTGTGATGTTTTTTAATGCTGGAGACGACAAAGACAAAGATCCCCCGTATAGCCTTAACAGACAGTTGGGGCAAGTGCTGTTAGTGAGCACGTATGAAGGCTGGCACGGAACACGAGGGGGTGGGTGGTCAACACCACGCCCGGCCGTCTTTGTCTCCCCAGTGGCGATGTCACGCACCACACCAGGTACTCATTTGAAGCTGAGTCGATCATCGTCACCGATGTTGGCCGTGAGCAGTAATCGAACCCGGGTCGCCAGGTTCATAGCACAGCGCGCTAACCGCTACACTACCGCTCCCCACCACACACACACACACACGTACTCTTATAAACGTGCATGTGCACACATGCACGAGCTTGTGTGCTGCAGCAGGGTTATACAAACAGCCCTGGATCCATATCTCAGGCTTATTTGTGTTGACTGCCCCTGTGGTTTGTGTGTGTTGGCTTATCATGTTAATTGCTTATACATTTCTTAATTAAGATATCAAATATTGTTTGGTGGCATTTGCTCTATCGTATTGTTTATTCGATTATTTACTATTAGCTAAAAGCAAGATAACTAGCTATTGAAGGACTAATTATAGTATTGGTGATTTGGTGTTTTTTTATATATATATGAATCTTACATATTTCTCATATTTCCACATTCCTTTCTAGGTATTTAATTATTATTTATATTTCCAATCATTTAAAACAAATATTATTATTCCCACTTAATATTCAACATATTCACGAAGCATCTTTTTGTTTGTCTTATTATACATTTGGACAAAAGTCAACGTGCTATTTTCAGCTGAAGATGTGCCATTCTAAACTTTATTTTTCAGAAGAAATTTTTATTTGCTTCTTGAAGGATAATTGGCATTTGGGCTGGAATACAGCCCCACTTATATTGTAGTTGTAACCTTTCTGCCAAAGCGCTGAGTCATATGAAACCTGCTTTGGGATCTGCGATTGGAGACAGCTCTATGGGCTAAATGACATGAATCTTTATTCCATAACTTTATTATCTTTACATTTCACATTTGCCATTGCATAATTATAATAATTTAAAAAGTTTGTAAAGGCATGTTTACCAAACATCACGGTAACATTATGATCATTTAATGTTGACTGGTCCGATCATATAAATATTTCCTCTGTAAATGTTTAATTGCTAATACGGTGCAGACATTAAGAATGCCACTTATTAATGGTAAGCGTCACTGTTTTATTCAACGGCATATCATGTTTAACAGTCATGTAATTAATTGCTGTGTAGTTTTTTTTTATCAGGTGTAAGTGTTAATTAGTGGTCTGTTGTTAGGACTGGCCTGCCTGTTTGTGTTTTTTTTTACCATGCGTGTGAGTGCACATTCATTGTGATGTGTATCAACACAGGGTCTGAGTGTTGACCTCTAATGCATTGCAAATGCTGGTCCATTAAAAAAAAATTGGTAATTAAATTACAATTGCATATGCATGCTTGCCACCACCAGATTATCATGTCCACCAGTATTATTTCCCACATTTTGCTGAATATATCCATGCCTTATTTCAATGCTCAAGGTCTATGCACCGCATTTTTTACACTTAAAAGTACGGTAACATTGAAATAAATTAATAATGTTCTAATAATTACATTTAATTGATTATAACACCGGTAATAAGTGGTATTTAAAACAAATCGGCTGGTATTTTAAAATGTGCTGTCGATGAAACGCGAAACCTTTAAGGCTAATCATGATAAGAAGAAACTGCCTACAAAAGTAGACCTTTCCACAATTAAAAAATGTCAGAAGGAACCTCTGCTCAACTTTGAGGAGTGCCCTCCTATTTCTCCGTGTATGTGGGGCTATCGACAAGGAGCAGGTGTATATGTGAGATCTCATTTCTTTGCAAGAATAGATCACATCCACGGTTCCCTCACTTGACGCTGAGCTGATCTGATGGAGGCCATCACCTGCCACTCATCCTCGAGGTTGAATCAACTTATAGATGGGGCTTCCCCAGGTGCATGAACTGGAATGGATGTCAGAGTAAGAGAAAAGGGCATGAGGACAATCATTGTCTGTCTGCCCAGCTTGTGCAACAGCATCAATAAAACTGCTGATACACATTGAGTCATTGTATTAAAATTTCAGGGATTGCATTTGAGGCTCTGCAGAAACACACGTTGATAATACGCTTAATATAGTTGTCATTAACCAACATTTCCTTTGTAGGAAAGCTATATTTATAATAGCATCATCTTTTAGGCAAAAGGCCCTTCATCAGAACTGGGAGAAGAAAAGGTAGACAAAAATTGCGACTCATGGTCGGACTCAGCATTTTACAATGTTGTACCCTGAAGAGACTGTGGTATGAATACTCTACAATGTACAGCTCTTTGTCAATCCGCTGCTGGATATAAACCTCCTTCCGGCCCTTGGTGCAATGGATTCGTGGGCCCGGGACTAGTTTATACATCACTGACCACTGATGTAAGCTATGGCTGGCAATAGATCTCCGGTCAATAGGTTCAGGGCACAGTGTGCTTAACTCCACTGCTCTTTCCACGGAGACTACGATGTCAGAATTTGACGCAAAATTGCAATCAAATTGCTATTCTTAGTTTTTTTTGTATAAAGTCACGTAGGTAAAAAATTTAAATTAATCAAAGTAAAATAAAAAATAAAATAAAAATCACGACGTTTCACTTGATACAGAAATCGTGCTGTGACGGTTCCACCTGCAGACGGAAGCTTGTGTTGCCTCCGAAACGTCGTGATTTATTATTTTATTTTTATTTTACTTTTATTAATTTTAATTTTTTACCTACGTGACTTTACCGAAACAACCTAGGAAAATGAATCCTTGCAGTCACGAAAGCTTCAAATCTAGAATCAAATTGCTCTTGCGAAAGCCTTCGCCGAGAATCAAGTGGCGGCGGAAGGTGTGACACTGAGCACGAAATGTTTTAGAAGATATGATAAAAAAAATTCCAAGACCTTAATGGCTGATTAATTAATTAGGCACCGAGCACTGATGGGGAAAAAGAATCACCTCCAGCTCCTCGTTGGCAGCGGCAGGGCCGCTCGTCTCGAGTGAAGAGGCCGTCTCGTCGCTCAGCCGCCTCCGTGACGGCTGATTCGGGGTGCACGTAGGCAGGTGACTCTCTCCGTCCTCACTCCTCACACCCACACCTCATCAGCAGCAGGGGCACGCGACGGGCAGAATCAAAGCCAAGGGGACAGCTATGGTGATTTAAAACCCGCCAACTCATGGCCGTTGTCGGCATCGTCAGCATCGCAACGATTGTCATCGCTGTGGTTTTTTGTTTGCCGTCAAAATGTGGAATTTGTTATTTGGGGAAAACACCCTTCGCAGGTTAATTATTTTTCAGCTTCGTTTTGGACATTGTGTCGACCCGCAGAGCATTTGCGTGGATATTTACGTGCAGATGTTGTCGTGATGGTTAGGACGCTAGACTTGGAATTCAAAATTCGCCGATTCAATCTCCCAGTGGGGCATGTGTCCATCCTAGCAGCATAAATGACTACGCCACGCGCGTGATCGGCTACAGTGTGGCTATGCTCCCACCATTTTCCGCGATGTCTGGCCGACTTGGAAGAGTAGGACCAAATTCTGTATGCCTCCTTTTAGTCGAGGCCCTTCCTTACGCCAGCAATGGCGTGATCAAGAAATTGCAGGGCTGAAAATCTTGACCCTTTGACACGGGCCCCACCGAGCACACGCGCATGGTACGCACAGCGGCCTGATCGAGCCGCACGGCTGAAAGAATCGCGCTGGCGAAGCTGTTTTTCAGCTGGCAGGGGATGTTGGCAAATGATTAAACCCCCAAAAATTCCCAGCATTGAAATGCATTTTCATGAAAATATATATTTCCCATTTCCATCATTGTTGTGAAAAACTATAAGAACGCTTTGCTCATTAGAATTGTTTTTATTATTATTACCGAAGCAAATGCATAGTAATATGATGCAAATGAAATCACACGTTCAAATAGTATTTTTTCGAATGAGCAATATTCATGAGTGTCAGTGATTGTGATATCCAGCTAATGCACAAAGCATGTAATTGCACAGTTATATATGGTTACATAATAAATGCATAAGACTTGGGCTTTACTGTAATAATACATATATATATAAATGTGAAAATCGAGGGTATGCGGAAAGATAATGACTTGCAGGCAGCAAACTTGATTACTTACTAAAGTGATTATAATTGTTTACGATGTTGAATGGGCTGTAAGTAAAATAAAATTACTGCCGGATTTTCCGTCTGAAAGCAAAATGAGATTAAAATCTGCTGCGCTTGACTACACAGACGGCAGCAGCCAAAGAGGAAGAGTTCGCTGGTGCTGCATTGTGTGGAGCCGTGCGTGAAATTCAGAGTTCCATGCTGAGCAGGCGCGCTTGGCTCCAGGAGAGAGATTGTGGGAAAGAATACGGAAAGTTGAATCCGTGTTGGTGCGGAGGGAAGAAAAAAACCTCGCCAACTTGGGGGAGTCTGCCATCTCTTGGGATCTGAATTCCGTTTTGAGGCGACACACGGCTTTTGACAACGTGTCAATCCAGAGGCAGATGTTGCAGGTGATGCGGTCACGTGCAGCGCCACGCGAAATTAAGCAAATCATTTCCAATCATTTCATGAATTTCAATCGAGGGGAGTATTGTGCAATCCTGGTAATGTACACAATGCCCGTAAAGATGTGTAGCCGTTGCTTTTTGGTTTTACTGATTTAAATAATTGAGGAGCACCAGTTTTTTCATTCGTGTTTGTCACAAAATACTGCCACCAATATCTTCTTCATCTAGAATCCAATGTTCGGGAATTGGTTCGCCTTCTGAATATTTGTGTTCACATATTTTTGAAGCAGAGCTCTTTGTCCGCACACTTCTACGTGCATGCATTTTCAACTAAAAACCCCTTAAATTTCGATTTAAAGCTTTCGTGACTGCAGGGATTCATATTCTTGGTTCTTTCAGTAAAGTCACGTAGAAGGGAAATAAATAAATAAAACATTTTTAATAAAACATCAGAAAATAAAATGATCGCGACGTTTCGGCCACAACACAAGCAGCCATCCTCAGGTGAAGAACAGAGCTGTCGGAAAGACAGAATTTTATTTTATTATGTTTTTTGTTATTATTATTTCCCTTCTACGTGACTTTACCGAAAGAATCAAGAATATACAAACCTTTACTTTTAAGACCACTTTCCAATCTTATTTTTCACACAATCCCTTCATTTGTTTTCAGTGTAGTTTTGCTTTTTCAATACCACCTGCTTGGACCTGCCTTTTTTTGCTTTTCAATCAATGTCGTGCATAACCCCCTTAACCCCTAACTCTAACCAGGGGTACAAATAAGAAAGGGGTAACTTTCGTTCGCTGGTTGGAACGGATATTTGTTTCCCTAGGGTACAACTATATTTGGGAGAGAAAAAAACGGAATGCATTTATACCGGCACTGCTCAAATCCTGGGTCTGAATCCATGTATGCATGTTGGACTTCTTTCGCACTATACGTAGCCAACCGTGCTAATTGGAGGTGTTCTTCGGAGGTGGGAATCCAGGCAGTCCCCAATGATTTAAATCTATTGCCAAGTGTAGTGAGTCAGTGGCCTAAGTCGACGGTGTGAGCAAGCAGTTGCATGGCTGCAGCTTTACCTCCTCACATCGTCATCATCATCGTCGTCGTCGTAATGCTCGCACTCTGATTTGCTCTCAAAGTAAAGATGAGAGCATGTAGGAGTGCTCTTGGAAAACACAAATTTAGCACTTGATACTATTATAAGACAGCTTAGCGCTCTGTATATATATACACACACACACACGTACACATGTAAGTTACTCGATAATTATACTGGGCATTGTGCGCCGGTCCTCTCTCTTTGTGTTCATGCGCTCATTAGGGGCATGCAATGCTTCCGTTTGAAACATCTATAAGCACCGCGGGCTTGACAGATTCCATTGTGTGTTTGCCCGTGGACATCAGCCAAATTGTGTCACCGTCACATAATTAAGCTCCCTTTGACACTTGAATGGCCACGGACGCACTCTGCCTTCAAGGGACGAGCGCGGCGGCTGCGAATTGGGCAAAGTCTGTAGCCTCGGATCCATAGTTAGAACCGGCAGAGGGCCTTAACCCAGCAAAGGGCTGGCAATATTCACATAAAATAAGTATAACCCGTAAAAACAAAGTTTTTCACTCTAAATCCTTTATATGCGTGGCGGCTAGAGTCCTCTCGTCCTCTGGCTTGAGATGGCTGCCACCTATGGGTCAGATGATTGTCTGCAGTATTAAACAATTGGTAATTAAATATTCTATTTGTTTTCCCTAAACAGTGTAACATTTTGGAATTTTTTTTCACGAACATTAATTGTCTCGCACAACGAGTCTGTGTGCAAAATGTCAGCTCGATTGGATCACGGGAAGTGAGTTAAAAAACGACCGAAAGGTTTGCACGGTCGTAAGCAAGCAAGCAAGCACGCAAGCACGCAAGCAAGCAAGCAAGCGAACTTAATATAAAGGATTTAATAAGTAAACCCGTAAAAAACAAAGTTTTTCACTATAAATCCTTTATATGCGTGGCAGCGAACTTAATATAAAGGATTTAAAAATATATTCGCCTGTGGAGGACGCGGGGATCGATCCCGCGACCTTTGGCATGGGAAGCGAGGGCGCTACCAACTGCGCTACTCCGCCACGGCCTGTGGAGGGGTTACGCTCTGGGCTCTTATACTGTGACGTTCAGCCAAAGCCAAGAATGAGTTATTTTGAATATATGTAAAATATTTTTTTTTTTGCCTAAAAAGTGTAAAATTTTGGGAATTTTTTTTTTCACGAACATTAATTGTCTGGCACAACGAGTCTGTGTGGAAAATGTCAGCTCGATTGGATCACGGGAAGTGGGTTAAAAAACGACCGAAAGATTTGCACGGTCGTAAGCAAGCAAGCAAGCACGCAAGCACGCAAGCAAGCAAGCAAGCATGCGAACTTAATATAAAGGATTTAAAAAATACTTACTCTCTCTTTTGCTTGTTCTTCAATTGATAATTGTACGCCATGCACATGAGTGCATGTGTATGTCCCTGTTGTAACTCCATGGCAAGATGAGAGGCTCCCCATGCCTTGGTGGTCCTTGGGGGCCATTCATCCATACCTCATCACACTGGTCAGTACAGGTTGATAGTGAGAAATTCGAGTTTCGAAGCGTAACATACCGGCGGATTATCCTGGACTTTCCGTTACTGACCACCGCCTGGCGAAGTCGTCCGTTACACCCCGGGGTGCACGGTCGATGCTCAGTCATGCTCTAACACGCGGGCTTAATCCTGCTCGCCTCCTGAGATGTCACAAGATTGGGCTCATTGCAGGTGAGTTGGCTGTCGGAGGGAATGGTTTGTTTTTTAAATCCTTTATATTAAGTTCGCTTGCGTGCTTGCGTGCTTGCTTACGACCGTGCAAATCTTTCGGTCGTTTTTTAACCCACTTCCCGTGATCCAATCGAGCTGACATTTTGCACACAGACTCGTTGTGCCAGACAATTAATGTTCGTGAAATTTTTTTCTCCAAAATTTTACACTGTTTAGGGAAAACAAATTAAATATTTAATTACCAATTGCTTAATACTGGCAGACAATCATCTGACCCATAGGTGGCAGCCATCTCAAGCCAGAGGACGAGAGGACTCTAGCCGCCACGCATATAAAGGATTTAGAGTGAAAAACTTTGTTTTTACGGGTTATACTTGTTTGTCAGAATAGTATGCAGCATCGAATGGCGGCCTCGTGGGTGGACTGTAGACGGTGCGTTTTGCAGTGGTGCACTGGTCACCTATTCCCTCGGTTTTCTTTGCTGAATTATGTCACTGTTCATGATGTTTCGTTTTCTTCAGCGTCGTTCGTGCAAATTGCATCTCACGTTTTGCGAAGGAATCACAGACGAGCTGGAAGGCAGCAGCCAGGCAGTGAACTGTTGGCAACAACAATTGCCCAAGCTCTGCAGTCCTCTATAACATACTCTTTTGTCGACCAATTAAGTGTTATAGACGTGGGAGGAAACTGGAGCACTTGGAAAAAAAAACACGTGCGAGGGGGCAACGCTCTATCCCGTGCGGATGGGACGGGTGGTGTTCGTTCACAGTTTGCTGTATCGCCTTCTCCTGACGCGCC